GCCATGCCATACCCAGTGGACAGCGCTGGATTGGAGCCAATTTCATCCTACAACAGGACAATGACCCTAAACACACCTCCAAATTGTGCAGAACTATTTAGAGCCGAAGCAGGCAGCTGGTATACTATGGGTAATGGAGTGGCCAGCGCAGTCACCAGATCTGAACCCCATTGAGCTGTTGTGGGAGCAGCCTGACCGTATGGAACGCAAGAGGTGCCCATCCAACCAATCCAACCTGTGGGAGCTGCTTCTGGAAGCGTGGGGGGCAATTTCTCCAGATTATGTGCCTTTAAGGGGCCATTATGCTTATCATGAGTGGGTTAACAGACCTGAGCGTTTTCCTCAAGAGCTTTAATCTCTTTCAGCAGATGCTCCACTCTGGCCACACAATCCCCAGCATCCGGTACATTTCTTAGAGAGTCCATCAGGTGATCCAGAGACACTTTAATCTGAAGAAAAAAAACACAAAAAAGAAAAGTCTCATTTTTACTCAAGCAATACTTAAAACAGAGGCACAAAGAAAACCCATAAAAGATCAATAAGACCAAGAATTATATGAAACTCTAAAATAAACAACCAACAAATGTTGTATGTTATATATAAAGAATTGCATTTTACCTTAAAAAAATAGTAGAGAAAGGCTTCCAAGCATTCCAACGTCCGCCCAGACCCCCCCTATAGGGCACTATAGTGTGGTTACGCCTATAGACATTATAATCTAGACGCCTCGATGGGCGGGGTCTGTCTATGCTGCAGGTGAGTGTCTGCCATGTTGAATCTGCTGATAGACTCAGACACTTAAACAGTATCAGAGGGGCTTTAACCTCAGAATATACTTTATATTCATAATATTTTTATTTCTGCTGCCAATAATGTGGCCTCTACAGATTTTAACCTGGACCATAATAATCTGGATCTTCATGCTGCCTCTTATCCTTCCTGGGTTCGACTTAATCCAGTATACCGCAGCTGAGCTCCTGCGCATCTGTTGTCTCTGGACTGAGCCTCCGCCGCCATCTTTACAGCCCTACCCTGATATTGCTCTCCTGCCCCACGGGAAATACGGACACCAAGGATCTCACCAACTCTTCCATCCCAGAGACTCCAAACCTGTCAAATCCTAATGCTCTTTTCTTTCACCTGCCTAACTCTGGTTTCCAGTTACCATTCATCTAATCCACCTGCTCCTGCTTCTTTTTATATGGCTCAGTCCAGCTATCAGGGCCAGATGATTGACTTTGAGATCATTGATGATGTCATAGATCAGGTTCTCGTTTTGTGGTGAGAGAATATTTTAGTGCTTCATCGAGTTCCTGTTTTCCTGATCATGTTCTGCTTCTTATCCACTGAGTTTCCTCTGTTCCTGTCTTGGCCCAGAGGAGAGCGAGTTTTTAGTCTACCGTAGTTCCTGATATCCTGGACTGTTCCGATTTATTTTTTTTTATATTTTGAAGAGGTTTGACTTCTGACACAAAATACAATCAGGGAAAATAGGCTACAGGTTTATAGATGCTTAAGTAGAGCATAGGAGTCAGTTTGCTCATCAAAAAATTTTAGTTGTTAAAGAGCAAATAAAAAGGCTATTCTAAATATATTTTTCAGTAAAAGAAAGAAAAAGTGTGAATAGAATAGAAACTCCTTATTGTCCCAGAATTGGGAAATTCTGGTGTTTTCAGCAGCAAAAAAAAATTACAGAAAAAATGGTCATACAAATGTGGACCTTAGAAAAATCTATAAAAACTAACATAATAGAGTTA